TTTGTAAGAAGTAGAAAAGTATCCTTTTGTAGTCGAGTGTATGCAGTCTTCACAGGCCATAGCTGCATGTAGCTAGAGAGCTAACAACTAAAACAAAGAACAGGAATCTCCCCTCAAGGCTTGCTTTTGTTTACTAAATATTTCCATAACTGTTTTTACCACTGTCACAGCAATATAGTAGTAGTAAGTAAGTAAAGTTTATTTATATAGCGCCTTTCACAGATATAAATCACAAAATGCTGTACAACATTAGTAAAATCAGGGCAAATACCTCAAACCAATAAAAACATCATAAAAAATAGCAGTGACAAGAATAGTAACCAAAATCAGGAGTAAAAACAAAGTCAAGGTGTGAACAAGAACAAAGCCATCTTTTAGAATATTTAGCGAGGGAAAGCCTGCATGAAAAGGTGAGTTTTAAGATGTTTTTTGAAGACCTCTACAGATTTCAAGAGACAGAGATTTGAAGGCAGACTGTTCCAAAGTCTGGGGGCAATAGACTGAAAGGCCCTGTCCCCTTTGGTTTTTAGTCTGGTTCGAGGAACAGCCAGGAGGTTTTCAGATGTGGATCGGAGGTTCCGTGAAGTGGTGTGTGGGGATAAAAGCTCAGATAAATAGCTTGGAGCCTGGTTGTTAAGAGCTCTATAGGTCAGCAGTAAAACTTTAAACTGTATTCTATATTCTACCGGGAGCCAGTGGAGGGACTGTAAAACTGGGGTGATGTGAGCTCGTCTGCTGGATGTGGTTAGGAGTCTGGCTGCTGCATTTTGGATGGCTTGAAGGCGTGAGAGGGAGGTTTTGCTGAGACCAGTAAAAAGAGCGTTACAGTAGTCTAAGCGTGATGGCACAAAGGCATGGATGATTTTTTCCAGATCTGCAGTAGAAACCAGTTTACGGACTTTTGAAATGTTTCTCAGTTGGAAGAAACAAGAGCGGGAGATGGTTTTGACGTGTGAGTCTAAACTTAAAACCTGATCAAAAATAACTCCTAGGTTTCTAATGTTGGCCTTGGCTGATGGGCAAAAGGAGGCAATTTCCTGCTCGGTTTTTGGCTGAAGTTCCGGGGGTGCAGAGATCAGGGTCTCTGTCTTGTTGGCCTTGAGAACAAGAAAGTTGCTGGACAACCAGTTACTGATCTAGGTCAGGCAGAGTACAAGTGTGGCCAGCCTGTCCCAACTGGTGTGGCATGAAGGACATATAGAGCTGTATATCGTCAGCGTAGATGTCGTAGGAGATGTCTGGGAAAGATTGAATAATGCCAGCTAGAGGAAGAATATAGAATGCGAATAGTAGAGGCCTAGAACTGAACCTTGTGGAACCCCGCATGTTAGAAAGGCAGTGTCTGAAGAGAAGGTTTCTGACTTCACTGTGAACATTCTGTTTGTGAGATAGGAAGAGAGCCAGTCTAGAGCAGAACCTGAAATCCCAGTCAGGGCATTTAACCTGTTTAGTAGAACGTTGTGGTCTACAGTGTCAAAAGCTGCACTGAGGTCAAGCAGGACCATGACAAAGCAATTTCCCAGCATCAGCAGCCATCAGGTCATTATGCACCCTTACTAGAGCAGTCTCGGTGGAGTGCTGCTTCAGAAAGCCAGATTGGAAGGGGTCAGAGATCTTTGACTTGGAAAACCAGGATCTGAGTTGGGTTTCCACAACCTTCTCAAGTACTTTACTGATGAAAGGTAGTTTAGAAATGGGCCTAAAGTTACTGGTGGAGCTGGCGTCAAGGTTGGGTTTCTTTAAGAGAGGAGTCACTACTGCATTTTTAAAGTAAGATGGAACACAGCCTTGGCTCAGTGAGCTGTTGATCATAGTCAACAGAGATGGACTGATAGAGGCAAGGGACCCGACTGACAGAGGGAGGTAAGATGTCTGATGAGCATGATGAGAGCTTCATCTGACTGATTATTGAGGCTAAGTCATTTAGTGTAATTGGGGAGAAGGAGGTGAAAGACTCTGAGCACTGGGGGGCCTCCCCTCCTGGGGGGTGGGGGTGGGGGGTGGTGGGGGGGGGCTGGTGGAATGCTGGATCTCAGATTCAGCACCTTGTTGGCAAAAAAGTGGAGAAAGGTGTTACAATCATCAGCTGATGATAGCTGAGCCTGCTGCGGAGGAGAAGAAACAATGCTGGAGATGGTATCAAACAAAACCCTAGGATTATTCTTATTTTGACATATGAGGTTGCTGAAGAAAGAAGACCTGGCATTTTCTACAGCTTTGTTGTATGTCTCTAGAAGTTCTTTAAAATATTCGCGATGAACAACCAAACCTGTCCTCTTCCACCGTCGTTCCGCTTTTCTATAGGAGCGTCTAAGATCAAGAATCTGGTTGTTCAGCCAGGGAGAACTGGAGGCACTGGAACTGCGGCTGGTTTTGTAAGGGGCGACCTGATCTAGAATTTTGAGGCAGTGATCATTAAATGAGTTGGTAAGGAGCTCTACATCATCAGAGGAAGGGGGTACAAAGTCAAAGAGGGAGGAGAAATTTAAAATGGTAGAACTGTTGATAATACGTCGTTGCTTAGCAGAGACTGGTAAAAGAGATTCAGAATTTAAGTTGATATGAAAAGAAACTGACTTATGGTCACTGAACACAACATCATTTATCTGCAGTTTATCAACAAGAAGTCCGTAGGAAAAGACCAGATCCTGGGTGTGGCCTGCTCTGTGAGTGGGACCAGACACGTGTTGAGAGAAGTTAAAAGAGTTCATCATGTTTAGGAACTCCCTGATAGAGCTGTTAGATAGATCCTCAGCATGGATGTTGAAATCTCCAACAATGATTATCCTGTCTAGTTTAATAGTTGAAGATAGGAGATCCTGAAAGTCAGACAGGAAAGATGAAGTAGATCCAGGTGGGCGATAGACCAGAATTCCATAAACTGGTAGAGCTCGACCAATTTTAATCATGATCATCTCGAATGAGCTGTAGGAGTTTGAGGATATTATTTGGCACGAAAAGTGTTTCTTAAAGATAACAGCTGTTTCTCCACCGCGGCTTGTGGTCCGTGGAGAAGAGAAGAAAGAGCAGTCTTGAGGACAGAGCTCACGGAGATGAGTGACGTCATTTTCGCGCTGCCACGACTCAGAAATCCACAAAAAGTTACATTTTTCAGTGCAGAACAGATCGTTGAGGATGTGAGACTTGTTGGCGATGGAGCGCGCGTTAATTAACGTCGTTTCGCAGAGAAATCTGGCGATGTGTGTACCGCTGGCTCCGTAATGGTGGTCGGCTGGCGGGCTAAGCTACGTAGCGACTCCAGGCTACGCCCGCAGGGGTTCTTTACCTTTAGGTAGCGTCCTGCATCAGGGGCACCATTTAGCAGCGAGATCAGCCCAACTCCGTTGAGTTTCTATTGGATCCGCCACAACACAGCCACGGAGCAGCGATCGGCAAGAGCTTCGCCTCTCAGGATCTTTCGGAGCTGAACAAAGAAGCCAGCTCTCTTCCCCCGTTTCCTCTTCCATGGTCTCCGGGGCAGCGGCAGGCCCACAGGTAACAAAGGGCCGACACCTGGGTTAACGCCAGGTTCCAGAGTCGGTGGGAAAGCGGGTCCGGTATCGGAGTTCTGGAGGTTGATCATTGCGGACCTGATCGACAATAGTAAGTCTCGATCATATGTTAGCAGGGAATCCGCACCAGATAGAGAAAAAACAATAAAAAACAACAAATAACCAAAACAGATCAGGAGCCTTGCAGACGCACAGCCACTCATGGGCGCCATCTTGCCAGTTCCCCAGAATATTATATATATATATATATATATATATATATATATATATATATATATATATATACATTAAAAGAAAAAAATACACTACTAACTAATACACAGATCTTAGCAGTTAGCCTAGCATAGCATGTGCATAGCATATTCCGTCATACTTGTCTTTGGCCTAAAGGCATCACAGAGCGATTGTCAGGATTATCCCAGGAAGAATAATTCAGCTGCTGTTGGAGACTAATCAAACATGACACTTTTTCCTAATACTAACTTCAATTGAAACAATTGACATTTTTCACTGATAATGTGTAATCATGCTTGATAGGAGAACTGTGATGCTAGCAAACTAAAATGATTTTGTTTTTTTTCCCTAAGAGGGCCCCAGTGTATATCAATATTTATTGGTATCAGGACTTAAGAATACATCTGACTTCCTGTCTGGCTCATGTAATTTCTTTAACTGCTTAAAAATCTTCATGCAACATCCAGAAAAAAATAAATGCCATGGGTAAATATTCGGGAGCTCCAGATCCGCACTGCCATCAGGTTAAATGCTCTGACTGGACTCAATGATTGTTGGTCTTTACAGAAGCTGTTGGGACTCTGGACCTCATCCATCCACACTCTGTGTAGACAAGGGGCTTTTATTCTGAAGAGCACGTTTTGGTTCTGCCGACAGCTCTTTGCGTTTCCTGCATCTCGGTTTTGCCTCTGCTCTAGTTTTTTTGCTTTCCAAAGAAATTCTCAGTGGAAGAGGTTAATCTGTGCCTTCTAATTAGTTTTGAAGGTTTAGACTGAGTAGCTCGAGCCGTTTGCCACATGCAAATGTCCACTGAGGCTTTTTGGTTGCTTAATTCACTATATTTTGTGTGAGACTGTAAGTTTGGGTTTATTTTTTGGCACAAATCTTATCCCATACTATATCAGTTTCAATTTACAGCTGAGCATTTTAATATGCTGTGTTTACAAGAGAAGAAGCAATTATCACCCTGTGTAATTACTGTTGTGATTTAGATCGCATCATCAACACAACAGTGCACACACACACACACACACACACACGCGCGCGCGCGCGCACACACACACACACACACACACACACACACACACTCACTGTCTCTCTGTCACCCTGTTTGTTAGATCAACATGTGTTTGGCGGGGGCTTTACTGTCTCACCCTTTTTATCTACCTTCTTTATGTCTTCCTTTTCTTTCTCCTGTTCTCTGCTGACCTTGTCCCGTCCCAACGCCTGCCTTCCTGCCTGCCTGCCTTCCAGAGGGTTCAGAAGGCTGCCAAAATCAAGAAAAAGGCGGTGTGTAATAAACAGAGCAAAAGGAAGAGCCTCTGGCCACTCCCTTCACTCTCACCTCTCCTTTTTTCTTGCATTTAAGCTCATCCGTGTGTCTTTGCCCATCTCTGTGTTGCACACTTCAAAATTGTTGCACATTGTTCAATTTTTTTTTTGCATCAGGTCTCCATAATATGTTGAGTTTCATGTGTGCACCTCAGTGAATGTGGTGTTTTTTTGTTGCATAACATTTTAGAACACTGTAACCTGGGCAAAGCAGAATGACAGATGCATTAAAAACCTGCATTTTACGTTAAAAACTCCTGCAGATCCTTCTAACACCCTAGTGACATAAATTGATGTCCAACCATTAAGTAACAGAAGTCGTGTCAGCAGGATACTACTGTATGTGATTGCTGCTGACTGTTCCATATGCTGCCTCTATTTTTATACAGGATATATTGCTGTGAATCAGGGTGTAAAGCAACCTGAGGGAATGAGCTTTTGAAGTTATTTTGTGCAGAGAGATGTGTTTTTTTATACACTCTGTTCCTATAAAAATTTAGGTGAAAAGTTCAACTGATCTCCCGAAAAGTTAAGGTTTTAAAGTGGTACATTTTTGTCAAGACTGGTTTATTATTGATGCTCTGGGCAGTTTAGGAGTGAAACACATTAGGAAATTAGAGTGCTAATGTAAATTTTAAAAATCAGAAAGCATAACAAGTTCTTTCAGTTTTGCATTGTTTGTAGCCATTATTAAGTAAAGCCAAGTGAGATTGTTTAGGTTTAGAAAAAAAAACAGCTACTTGTTCATCATTCTTTGAGTGCTTTTATTATTTTTAGCTGCTTTTTGGTGTGATGCTGCGTTAATAATTCACTGATATTGACTCACCTCCTCTCCAAGTCTATGGCTGTAGAACAACATCAAAAATCTGGCTGTTTTACTCCTTAAAGGACTGGGTAGCTTTCCTGTTTTGAAGTCATTCAAAAAGGAGTTAAGAGGTGTATTTATTTTAATCTGGACTTTTTCCCTTCTGTTTACATCAGTTACACTGTGTTCAACCCTAGTCCTCACGGGTCATTTATTTTCACACAAAACCTAAAGTAACTTTTGCCGCCATTTGAAAATAAGTGCTTTTGTGGCATCAAAGTGTGTCTTTAAAATTCACGGACTTCATATGTGAAATCCATGGCACATGTCAAATGCAATCAGAAATGTACTTTTATTGCTCCAAAGGCTCCCATTCATTTTGGGGGCCAGTAGAGGACTTAAGGACAGGAAGCAGATGGGCGTGACTTAGGCTCCCTGTATATGTAAGGGTGTTTCTCAATGCCAAGGAACCTCGCCGTGATGTCTTGGCCCCGCCCGGGTTGCCCAGGAGATACGTCATCAGGAGCCGCCAAGACGTGTTCCAATGTTCATGTTCTACCGAGGCGTGTGTTCTCCGTTTGTTAGCCGTTTAGCTAGCTGAGCAAAGATACACAGGAGGTGTCTTGTAGCCTGGCCTTGGTAAAAAATTACCCAGAATACATCACAGTATTTTCAAAAGGATGGCGGATCGGAAGCTGGGAACTACTTCGGGGCAAATTTCGAGTTTAAAAGTAAGTCAACTATTTTAAAATGTTTTTTTTTAGATCCAAACAAGTTATCTATGGTTGGTTAGTTGCTTAATAATTACAGCTTCAGTGGCTAGTGGGTAGGTAGTAACTCACTTATATTTTTTATTTTATTAACATATACACAATTTAAAAAGTAAATGGCTCGTTCTATATTTATATTGAAACTAATACGTATAAATTATAACGTTATCTCCCGTGTCACGTGACGTTACGAAACCGTCATGGAAGCCGCGGTCACGTGATGCAAGTCTGTTCCGTTTAACCATTTTCTTTGACCAAAGAAGGACAGTGTCCTCGCAAGGTCAGGCGCCTTGACATTGAGAAACACCCTTAGTCTGTGGTTTGAACACAATCACTCAGTTATTAGAACCCTATAAAACTCAGGTTGTAACAGCCCTAAAATTCACAGATATAAGCTACAACTGGAATTGAATACAGAAATTAGAAGAAAGCCTAAAATACTGAAATGGGTCCAAATGTGTAAAACACAATGTTTTGTTAAACCCATACTTTGCAACTTTTTCATATTTTTAAATCATTTTCATAAACCAGTATGTGCTAAAATTAGGGCTTAAATGAATCATCGAATGATACGATTAATTAAATTCTACAATTAATTATTTACTGGTTGGAAGCTTCGTTAAATGTGCGCTCCACAGTCTGAACACATTTTACTGGCGCACTACGCGTTGATCTAGGTGCTGTGGAGGAAAATAGAGAAACCAGCAAAGACACAAACCATTGTAAATGGCAGAAACGGTCCAAAGTTTGGGCTCATGAGTTAAACGAGCAGAATCGCTAATGCTAAGCTAGAGCGTAGCAATCTCATGAGCAAGAGTGGTTCAGAAAAAACGTGATGGTTGTGAACAACTAAACTTTACAAGCGAAAGAAAGGTCCCCACCATCCAGTTTATGTGTGGATGTCTGCAGCGCTTTGGAGCAGAGCCGCTGCAGCTACTGGTTGTTCTGGTTGTTGCTAAAAGTATGCTCGCTACATCCATGCAAAAGTCTGTGGCAAGCCGTTGTAGCATCTAAATCACAAACGCTTTTACATTTAAATACAATTCAGACGAAATTATGTTGCCAACCATTACATAATAAAATAATATGTAAACATAATATATTCCACAATTAAATTGTTACCAGTAAAAATTAAATGTTATTAGCATTTCCAGTAGCTTACTACTGAACATGTTAATGAAATAAAGAAATTCTCCTGATTATGTGTGAATATATTTAGATAAGTTATTTGACTGGGATAAGGTTAATACAAACCTAAAATTAGGTAAAATTTTGTTCCATAAAATATTTAACTATGAATATCAGCTGTTAAAGGGGGAACAACACAACACCATTTAATATATATTATTGAGCCTTTTACAAATTTGCTGTTTGATTTTCATAATTTTGGCAGCAGACCACAGTCTCCTTTCACTTGAAATGTCGTCAAATAGAATACTCGATTAACCGATGGAGGATTCGATAGAATATTCAAATACAAAAATATCCGACGGCTGCTAAAATGACCCTTTACATCCGGGGTGTTTAATTCTGGTCCTGGAGGGCCGGTATCCAGCAGGTTTTAGTGGTTTCTCTGCTCCAACACACGTTTGATTAAGTGGTTGCATCACCTGTGCAGCAGCTCATCAGGCTCTGCAGAAGCCAGTTAATTATCTGGTATTTGAAGTCAGGTGTGTTGAAACTAAAATGTACTTCAAAGCCCTCCATGCTCGGAATTAAATACCCCTTTCTTACAGGGTTAATGAAATGTCACTCAGACCCCACCGCTCTCTGTGGCCAGAATGCCACATTTGCAACTTCAGAGTGCCGGTTCACCACCTGTTAGACTTCGAAAATATTTAGCTTACATACCTGGCATTGCAGTCTACTTCCAGCACATTTCCTGCATGTTTTAGATCATGAACACAGCTGATTTGTTTCATTTAGTGATGAATCACTCCTCTAGAAACTAAGGAAGGCTGAGGAGACAGCAGTTAGATTAAGGTGTTAAAAAGACAAATGCACAGCACGGAGATGAGTTTCACTTTTAATTTGACCAAAGATAATTAATAACGGACACTAGGAGGTGCTAAAAGCAGTCAAAAAGGCCAAGCATCCCTTCAAGAGAACAACAAAAAGAAACAAGTATACAACAAATGTCATCTGCAAAAATGTTATTTTTACCAAATTGTGGATGAATACCTTTGTTACGTCATTTTGTCTTCTTTTCAGTAAAATGGTTTTCACCAGGTCAAGCAGAAAACACTTCCTCTGAGATTCGTTATGATTTCAAACGGTTGAGGACAAATACATTTTTGAAAAACCTTTTAGTTTTGGGGTAAATGTCATGAAAATCTAAAAAGCTGGCGAGAGAGTTTTGGAGAACTTCAACCAAACATGAAATCTGGCAACATTTGGAGAAAGACTCGGTTTTAATGGCTGAAACCAAACCTGCTTCAGTCCAGCATAGAACAAATTGATTTTCAATCCTTTTGCAATAAAAATCTCTGCAGAGCTTTATTTTATGTCCGCATGTCGGACCGGACTTCTAACTGATGTGAACATTATGGCCACGATCAATAATATAGACCCTCAAATGCATTAGCTGGGGGTTTATTTTGTTTCTACATCTAGACTGAAAACCCAAAGTTCTCCTCCTGAGCAATCTCAACATATTTCATCTAAATGAACATGGCAACTTTCAAAGCACGTTTCAGCAACACCTGTTCAAGCCGTCCTAGTTTCTGTGCATTTTTCTATAAAAAAACATTTTAAAAGATTGTGACAGTTACAGGCCACAGGCTCTAATAAGCGCTTCTCTATTTTGACCCTAAGCTATGAAAACCCAGTGACGTGTAGTTTATTCCTGCATCACACTGGCCATCTTTTAAATACATTTTCTAAAAAAAATATAATGAAACAAGAAAAAAAACATAATTTTATTAGTCTGCATGGCTTGCAGTAATTAGAGGGAAATGTGCGCCGGCTTGTTCTGCTCTCTCTAGTGTAACAGCCAGCTGGTGAGGGCTTAGTGTTAAGCTGCTTCTTGTTTCCGCTCCAGATCACCATCTCCATGCCAGGACAGCTGATGTGAAAACGCCACTGCCAAAACGCTTTCTGTTTCTGTCGCTTCCACATCACCTTTGCACTCATAAACTTGTCCATCTTGATGGGCATTTTCCCCAGCTGGAAACTAAACTGAGCATGCATGCCTTCTGCACAACACTGGCATTAAACAGTGTAAAGTCACATTTTGGTTTCATGGATGACCAACTTCCTGCGTTTGTTTGTTCCTCCAGAGTGCCGATGGAGATGCTCAGACTCTCACTGAGGTTGATCTGTTCATCTCTACCCAACGCATCAAAGTACTGAATGCAGACACACAAGTAAGAACTTCCTGCTTTTCCTTAAACTACACTGTGAGTTACACATCTGCAAGTCAGGGCAGTGAGGTTGGGTTGTAGGAAGCTGTGATCCCTGCAGCTTTAGCTCTAACGCCAACTGTTTCTTATGAAAATACAGCTTTATGTTTGTTCTAATGACATCACAGGAGAAAAGTTGACTTAGCAAAACTCCCAAAGTGTGCAAATATCTGTATGAGAATGTTTTTGAAATGTGAATCGGAAAATTTGATTCTCCCGATTTTCCACTCATGAAGAAACTTTATCTTCTGGCTTGTTACCTAAACATCAAACCACTGTGTCTTTCTGAGAGCTCTGCAGTCCTTTATATCCTGAACAGAGCTCCTAGCTGGCAGCAGAAGTAAAACGTTCGTATACGTGATAGATGATTCATTCGCAGAATTCCAGTCTTATCCGTGGTCTGGCTCTCTGCGTGTCAGAGTGTGAGATTTTGAGTGTGGGCAGCCGGCTGGCAGAAAATAACATGCTGCAATGCGGTGTCTGTCTTCCTCCTTTTTCCATCTGGTTGCCACTGGTCCTAGCACTTCTGCAAAAGCAATTCTGAGAGAAGAAAGTACCTATTCTGCAGTTAAAAGTTTTATTGAGTCTGCAGAAAGTGCTCCTGACCTGGATTCATTATAAGCACCAGTTCAAGCCTAGACAGGGAAAGCAACAGTAAATAGATTTGTGTAATGAAACCACGTCAGAGTTAAGGAAAGTAACCAAACTGGGATGAATTTCTGCATATTATCATTAAACGTGAACAAATAAAACCTAATTTGAAGTCCACATCTTCTCTAAATTGTGATTTCATCATTTTTAATGTCTTGTGTAACTACACGATTACACGGGGTTATTATTAGGCTGAGTGAACAAACACGATTATTCCGATCAAACATACGCAAAATGTCATGGACCTCGTCAGTTTCATCGGCCTGACACAAACTACTTACTGAGCTGTAATCTGTTGGAACAGCTGTATTGTATGAAGTCAAAAAGATTAGTTTTCTGCCAACAGTTGCTTTATCTCCTCTGACACGAGTTGATGACACACCTTAGGAAAAGCTGAACATGCTGTGGAGTGATTTGGATGAGAGAACATGTAAGGAGGATTACATCATATCAGTTGAAATCCTGTTGCTTTCACTGGGTTTGCCATGTTTTTGACTCTCAGTTATTCAGTTTATTATTGAACAATTTTTCGTTGCTATGCCAACAGGAAACGATGATGGACAATGCACTGCGCACCATCTCCTACATCGCCGACATCGGGAACATCGTGGTCCTGATGGCGAGGCGGCGGATGCCTCGGACCGCCTCGCAGGATTGTATTGAGACGACACCTGGTGCTCCCGAGGCTAAGAAGCAGTACAAGATGATATGCCATGTCTTTGAGTCTGAGGACGTAAGTGTGTTGGAGACAAACGGTTTTGATGGCAGCCACACAGGAAATAGTTGAATCATTTAAAATATTAAAATCGCGAGTAGAAACCAAATTTTTCTGTAAATTCCCTTCACTGTGGACGTTCCAGACATGTCTGTGTTCACCTGACAATAACCGATTAAAGCAAACCACTGATTCCCTCTGATCTAAAGTGGCTGGGCACTTTTGATTTCCCTAATTTTATTTATTTTCACCCCGCAGAGCAGCTGCTTGCCTTGTTGAAGCAGTTTCTCTAAAACTTGGCAGCAAGAACAATGTTGCACCAAGAAGCCAGCAGCTTGGTTTCTGTGCCAATTGGTAGAAAGACTGAACTCCAATCTGTCCCCTCTTCAGCTAATTCTGCTGCCAGAATTTTAATGCAACCATTCGGCCGCTCACCCATCAACTTATAAACTGTTTCTTTTGTGGCCTTACTGGCTGCAGCCAGTGTTTCCTGCTTTAGATTGCAGAACTAATTCACTGTGGGGGGTTTGGGGTTTTAATGTCCATAAATTCTCCAGCAGCTATAGAACTAAATCAACTGAGTTAGGTAATAAAACTGGGATAATAGAGCTACTTAGAGAAGCTAAACTATGCTGTTTTTATTGAAAGGATTCTTTTGGTGCATCGTCACGATTATCAGGCTATGTTAGCTTTTGGGAATTTTTTTTATTAAAAGCAAAAACAAGCAGTTTTCCCACTTGTGTAGAAGAAGCTAAGGCTTGTGAAAGTAAAGAAGCTGGAAGCTTCCATCAAATGAGAACAAAACTAAAGAGAAATGTTTTTATGAGGTGTCTGAGTGTGCATGTGTGCGGGCTTACTTGTGTGTGTGTGTGTGTGTGTGTGTGTGTGTGTGTGTGTGTGTGTGTGTGTGTGTGTGTGTGTGTGTGTGTGTGTGTGTGTGTGTGCGTGCATGTGTGTGATGTGCTCGTGTGTGCATGTGTGCGGGCTTACTTAAGTGTGTGTGTGTGTGTGTGTGTGTGTGTGTGTGTGTGTGTGTGTGTGTGTGTGTGTGTGTGTGTGCGTGCATGTGTGTGATGTGCTCGTGTGTGCATGTGTGCGGGCTTACTTAAGTGTGTGTGTGTGCTGTGTGTGTGTGTGTGTATGCTTTGTGCATGCATGTGTGTGATGTGCTTGTGTGCGTGTGCATGTGTGCAGGCTTACTTAAGTGTGTATGTGTGTGTGTGTGTGTGTGTGTGTGCTGTGCTTGTGTGTGCGTGTGTGTATGTTTTGTGCATGCATGTGTGTGATGTGCTTGTGTGTGCATGTGCATGTGTGCTTGTGTGTACATGGATGCTGTGCTCGTGTGTGTGTGTGTGTGTGTTTTGTGCTTGCATGTTTGTTTGTTCATTCATCTATATACAGTATGTGTGCTTGCACATGTGTGTGTGTGTGTGTGTGTGTGCGCGCGCTGCATGCATGTGTGTATGCGTGTTTGCTTGCATGTGTGCATATGTGTGTACCTGTGTGTGTGTGTGTGTGTGTGTGTGTGTGTGTGTGTGTGTGTGTGTGTGTGTGTGTGTGTGTGTGTGTGTGTGTGTGTGTGTGTGTGTGTGTTGTTTTAGAATAATATCATAGAAGGTTTGAAAGATTTCAATGAAACATCTGGAAAAAAATCCCATGACGTTCGTCAAAAGCTTCATCAGATAAATGTTGACAGCTTTGTCATTTTTTGTAGATATGAAGCCAAAATTTGTTGAGATTGATGCAAAACACACATGCTGAGTTCTAATACATCTTGCATGATTTTGCAGCATTGTGTCAAACTGAGCATCACGTTGTTTTTGCGATTTCACCAAAAAGCTACAACTCCCATCAATTCTCACCAGCAGATAGTTGAAAATGCTTGTGTGAAAAAGCAGAGGGTGAATTATTGTTTTGTTTTGCTGTACATGATTCCGTCTTTATTTGTACTTTTGTATTAATTAGATTGTTTGAATGTTGCCTTCATCAACACTGACTAAATTGAAAAAGCATTAAAAAGTACAAATCTGTTTGTTTTCTGCCTTAATAAATTATTTTTGAATGATTGTTTTATTGTTTAATTCTCAATCAAGTAAAACTCATGATTCAGACAAACCCACAAATAATAAAAATTGATTGTTTCACATGATGTGCTCAGGCCCAGCTCATCGCCCAGTCCATTGGTCAGGCGTTCAGCGTGGCCTACCAGGAATTCCTGAGAGCCAACGGGATCAACCCAGAGGACCTGAGTCAGAAGGAGTACAGTGACATCATCAACACACAGGAAATGTACAACGATGACCTCATTCACTTCTCCAACTCAGAAAACTGCAAGGAGGTTGGCTTTTTTATTAAGCACACCATGTTTTTTCTGCAGATGATTATCTGAGAGCAGGAAATAAAAAACGAGACTTTTACGAACTGCAGCAGAAATCCCACTCGTGCTTCAGGGCAGTTAGAGAAGCCTGCTGCTGTTAACTGGGCTCTCAGAGGTGAAGAAGCTGTGGAGAAAAAATTCTGCTGCACTATCATCATCACATAAATGCCACTATGGAGGCAACAAGGGAAATTTTTCATCATAGATAATCGGGGATTTCTTGAAGTGCTAAAACTCTCCTTAACTGTGTTTGGTGTAGATTTCTCTCCCAGAGCGTCACATGAAGCTTCGCAGCTTAAAGCCAAAAGAAATGGAGAAGGAACGAATAAAAAACACTGAATAAAATAACTTTTTAATTATTAGCTGCTACCTGCATGCAGGCAAACTGATGACTGGAAGGCGTCAGCGAGAATATTAGATCATGTTGTTCATGAAAGCGAAAGACAAAGTGGTTTTTACCTTTTGAGACAGTCAAGAATGAAATAAGCTACCTGCTAATGAATGTTTAACGTCACGAAGGTCCTCTAATTTGTGACAAAGGTCACATTTTCCCAGCTAGGTCTAGCTGGGTCGACTGTAACTTTGCCTCACAGATTAACCATGCAAGGAGCCATGATGGCTGCTGAATATCATCTTTATCTGCTGCTGTTCTGTCCCAGATTGAAGGACACTTCAAGACCACAATAATAATTTTAATAAACTCTTTGACTTTATTACGGTTTATTATAATCATCATAATTAATCTCTTGGTTCAGTAAATACATTTTAATTACTGAAATGAATTATTATGCTTTGGGTATAATAATGATTATTGTGATAATCGGTTATGTGTGTTCAGTAAACCAGAAGGTCATCTCGCACGTAACCAGCCTCATTCAGAGGGTATCCAGGGTAAAAGAAAACTGCCATCACATGTCTTTGACTCATGACCAAAGCTTTCTTGCTCTGAGAGTGGGCGTGTTGTGAGGGGTTTGTTAAAACTAAATTTCCAGCAGCAAAAGTTCAGTTCGTGAACCAACCACCATCCTGAGGATAAGGGAACGGCCGCCCTGAACCTCCACCTGCTGTTCGGTCACGCCGAGAGAATAGCTTCGAATAAACGCCCTGTAACCAGCTGACGCAAAACTCCTTCAGAGTTATTGATTTTTAAGTAAGACGCAAAACTCCTTCAGAGTTAAGCCAGACGCTCGACTGTGTACCCTGCGACATCTTCGGACCAGAGAGTTGGTTCCACTCGAGTCTCCTCTACCAGACCGAGTACCCGGAGGTTGACAACATCCTCCCTTGACCTCCGGATCCGCACGAAGGGTCGTCTGAATGGGTGAGGTAGCACACCGATTGTGTTTGATGCTGTTCTTCTAAGAAACGACTCAGTTAGCTGCAAAACCATCATTCCAACCCAGAACGAGTTCCTCTCTCTGACAGAAACCTTCTGAGAATCCATTCACGCATCCAAGCTCTCATTTCATTTTAGCTTTCCATCCAGACACAGGTAAAGCTTTTGATACCAAGTTTAATATCAAAGCTGGTAAATTGTCATCCATGAATTGTCATTTTTAATTGTCATTTAAACTGCCGTTTCAAATCGTCAAGTTTTAAATTGTTAGTAATAAATTCTTCATGTTTAAACTCTGCCTCATCTTTGAAATGAAACACAGAACGATATAAATATTTCTGGTTATTGAAAAAGAAAAGATTCCTAATTTCTGATTCAAAAATAAACTTTTGCTATTAAATTTAATTATCTTAAATTAAACATTAATCTTTGGATTAAATATAGACCAAGCAGGTCGGTGTATGAACTTCTATCGATTATATAAGTATCCTGGATATTTATACATGATAAAAGCTTCATATGCTACTGTGATTGATCATTCTCAGAATCTAGCAACTGATAGCAAACAGTGTTGATTCTAGTACGTAGAAATACACTACAAACTCTTAATGCAGTTTCTGTTTTCTGCTGGAACAGGAGAGGCTGGTATGCACCTGGAATGGAAATGGATTATTTTTGTTACCATATCATTAATACTTGATGCATCACACAACACGAAAAAACAGCTTTGATTTTTCTATAACTTGCCGTTTAAATGATTTGATTGCAAAATTAATCTGAAAGTTTTAAAGGAAACTGAACCTTTCTAACCTAAAGTTTAATTTATGTTCTTTATTTATGGGTCATTGATATTTTTATTCATATTCTGGCATCAGCTCTAAATCGATTCAGTGTTGAATGTTGTACATTTAACCGCTTAGTGGATCGTTGTGTGTTTTTAGTGTGCGTTTAAAAAATCTTCACCTACATGAACTCGATAAAAATCTAAAAAATTTTAGAATATTCATACAGAGAATTTAGTTTAATCATCTGTCAGAGTGGACAAACTACTCACCTGTATGACTGTCTGCTATTTAAGCATATTTGAGTTTTATCACCTTCAATAGAATGCCTTTGGAGTGTGGTTATTTAGGTGGTTTTTGAATAGTTTCGGTGCACATTTATAAATTCCTACAGAATAACCAAACCTCTATAGTATCTTTCAACCTTGTGCAAACAAGAGCCTTTGAAAATTTGTCACATTTTAAATTAAATAGGATGTTCACTGAGAAACCATTTTTTATTTATTATTTTTGAAATAAATAATAAATATATATATAGATTAGAAAATCCTGACAGATCTGCGTCACACTGTCACTTAATATTCATGAACTCACCCATCTTGGCTCACGACGGAGAAGGCTGTTGTTGTTCTAGCTAGTAGAAGCTAACCGTTTGCATTAGCAACTCCACTACACAGCAGAACTCCTCCAAGCTTGCGTTATTTGTGGGGATAAAACATCAACGTTGAAGAGCAGTCTGTGGTAGAGTTGTGTTGTTGTTAGCCAATCAGAGGAGAGATGCCCAAATATAAAGAAATAAGTCTCCAAATCCTGTCGTCTGAAGCTACTGGGTGTTTCTCACTGTCAAGGCGCCTGGCCTTGCGAGGGCAGGCGCCTTACGAGAACACTGTCCTTCCTTGATCAAAGAAAATGGTTAAATGGAACAGACTTGCATCACTTGACACGGGAGATAACGTTATATTTTATACGCATTAGTTTCAGTATAAATATATAACGAGCCTTTTACTTTTTAAATTGCGTATATGTTTATTAAATTAAATATGTAAGTGAGTTACTACCCGCTAGCCAACGAAGCTGCAACTAATAAGCAACTAACCAACCATAAATAACTTCTTAGGATCTAAAAAAACATTTAAAATTAGTTGTCTTACATTTAAGTTTGAAATTTCCCCCGAAGTAGCCGCCGGCTTCTGATCCCCATCCTTTTGAAAATACTGCAGTGTATTCTGGGAAATTTTTGACCAAGGCTAGGCTACAAGACACCTCCCGTGTTTATTTGCTCAGCTAGCTAAATCGCTAACAAACGGAGAACAGACGTCTTGGTAGAACATGCGCTGTCTCAATTCAGGGTCTGCATCCTTCGAACGACCCAGCCTACTCGGCCGACGTGGGCTGGGTCGTCCGTCGGCCGAGTAGACCGGATGTTAACGGCTGTGAATTTGGACAGGCCTAGCCTTCATGAATTCCCGCCACTCCCTCGGCGAACGCTCCGTCGCCTAGCAACCGTGGAACCGCTTAGCAGAAGGGAGAAGGAACTTTAAACGATGGAGCTCAAAGTTTTATTTAGCTTTTTAATCATTTTCTTGACTGTTGGAGAGCTAATTCAGAGAAAATACTTTTGACAAGCTGAGCCTGAGCAAAGATGTGATAATAGATTTTAATACTTTCTAAGGGTCTTAATTTGACCAAAACTGATCTATCACCTTTTAAGACTTTTCAAGACCCAGCGGATACCCTCTAGTAAACAATTCTCATTTGTAAACAAAAATAAAATTCAAGAGTTTAATACAGAACTGATTTTATTTAGGTATTGCTTTTATATGTACAAGTTTAATCTTTATTAACCATTTTTTCTAGCAAAGTAAAAAGCTGTCAAAATTCTCCCTTCTCTCCTGCCCTCTGCTGCTCTGCCTCCCTCTGCAGCCTCATGCCCTCCCTGATCAGCTCCAGAAGCTGGTCATCGCTGTCACCTTCCCCTGGATGCCCATTTTCTCCAGAATAGTCTTAACAAACATGTAAGAAAAAAAAACAGGAAGAGAAAAGAGGACAACGGGTTATTCCTTTCATGTTTTCGCAGAAAAAAATAAACTCAAACGAGTTTTTAAAATATGAGATGTTATTGTACCTCCATGCCACAGCTGTCGAATACTTTGCTCCGGTGATCATGTGGTCCATCTCTGCCCTAAGCTTAATAAATTCCCTGTTTTTCTTTTTTGTCCCTAAAATACAAACTCCTATTAAAATCAGGGGGAAACGTAGCGGGAGAAGTACGACACCGAGCGGCCGAACATACGAGCCGGGACCGCAATACAAGCACTTTTACTGTAACATTTGTAACTAAAATAACGTTCATGTATCACAAAAATCCCTTAACCTAACAGTTTTCAAGTTTATACTGACATTTATACGCGCAATCCTCTCCGACAGCTCAAGCTTCACTGTCCGCCATTGTTTTTAAAAGTTCTACTGTCCGGCGCGCAAGGCATCATGGGAAATGTAAACCATTGAAGGATACACCGGACCCATCCTTCATACAGGCGAAAAGAAGGCCAAATTCGTCGACCGCATTTGAAGGGGTCTTCGAATTGGGACAGGCCTGGTCGCGGCGCAATGACGTAACCGGCCAACGAAGGATGCAGACCCTGAATTGAGACACAGCCTGTGACACTGGAACACGTCTTGGCAGCTCCTGATGACGTATCTCCTGGGCAACCGGGGCGAGGTCAAGACATCAAGGCGAGGTTCCTTGGTATTGAGAAACACCCCCTTTCTCCTCCAGTGGAGTTCCTGAAATAGACGCACCAGAGCTTTTATTCTTAGAACGACTTCATTCCTACTAGAAGCTCCAGCAGATGTATTAAAGATATTAGTAGAGTTGACCTTTAACACAATTTAAACAAACATGTTTCAGTTTATTAAGGAAGCTGCCTTTTAAAACGTTCTAATAACTTCTTGGTTTCCGCTGTTTAATAATCGTGCATAGTCCTTACATTTTCTATTTAAACTCTCCACTTGTCAGAAACCATCCCCAAGTGTACAACAAATCCTGTCTGGCAGGCGTTCCCAGTCAAAGGTGGACTCACTTTGAGTGTAGAAGACTGAGGCTTGCTGTTTCATTAATACAACATGTCTGTAAATCCAGGAGATGCTAGCTCGCAGATTGATTCACCACATTACGTGGAACCTTCTTACATAAGCAGGGAACTGAATCCTCCACAATATAAACAGCATCGCTAAAGCTCTGAATGCTGATAGGTTGCTTAGCTTTATGATGTCTGCTCTGCCCTCTGAGCTCCAGGATTGTTGCCGTACACAACATTCCAGCTCTGATCCATCAAAATGCGCTTGGAAATCTGCTTTTTTCCTGGCCCAGCATCTCAAGTTCTTAGCTGGTTGTCGTACAACAATCAGAGGTGACATCAGTGGACTAGCTCAGCTCTCTGTGAGGTTTGCTCGTGTGGTTTTAGGTGATGTTCTGTTTATGTTGGAACATCAAAGAGAGCAGTAATGTGTCTCTCTATCAGCTGCAGCTGGACAAGAGCAAAGGGGAGATCCTGGGTGTGGTGATCGTGGAGTCTGGCTGGGGTTCCATCCTGCCCACCGTTATCTTAGCCAACATGATGAATGGCGGCCCGGCAGCTCGCTCTGGAAAACTCAGCATCGGAGACCAGATCATGTCCATCAACAACACCAGCCTCGTGGGGCTCCCACTCGCCACCTGTCAGGGAATCATTAAGGTACCAGACGCTGAAGATTTGAAATAAAACAACAATTTTGACTTTAATCTTTAATAAAGCTGTGGTAAGTTATTAGTTTAGGAGGATAAAGTATGTGTGGGCTTCTGTTGCTGCGTTAAAGGGCTTGAAGAACCAGGTTTCGGTGAAAATGAACATTGTCAGCTGCCCTCCTGTTACCACTGTGCTCATCAAGAGACCAGATCTGAAGTATCAGCTGGGCTTCAGTGTCCAGAATGGCATTGTGAGTACGAGCATCATTTGGTTTTTACTCAAACACATTTTTTGTTGTTTTACCTGTGGAAATTCACCATGCTGTTCACACTCATTTAGACTCTACAGTTATGAGGATATGTGTGTGTGTGTGTGTGTGTTTGACCCTCCAGATCTGCAGCCTGATGCGAGGAGGCATCGCCGAGCGAGGTGGGGTCCGCGTGGGTCACAGGATCATAGAGATCAACGGGCAGAGTGTGGTGGCCACGGCACATGAGAAGATCGTCCAGGCGCTCTCCAACTCTGTTGGCGAGGTAAAACTGATGCTTACGGAAAAAAGCAGGGCAATGAGCTCCAAATGCAGGCGTCTTCAGACAATTAACATGTCTCATAGAGTTCTCAGTCCTTCAAATAACTTTATTTCTTTTTGGAAAACGCTGCACATTTTTAACCAAGAAACCCGAGTCACAAAGAACGGAGTTAGCTTGGTTTTAAACCCAATTTCTCTTTTTTTTATGTGGAAGAGACATGTGGAGTCACTAAAGCTACTAAAGCCCAAACGAACTCAGTCATGGTGTCGTTTAGTGCAAATCAGCTTTGATGATAGAACATGAATGCAAAATTACTGTAAATATAAAAACTATAACAAGCATTAGATGGCAGTTTACTTCAAAATAAGACAGAAATTGGAGTTTTCGATTTGGAGACATTAACAGATTTCAGAAAAGAGCATCAAAGTAGTAAAAGGGTAAAAATCTGAAAGCCAGAATCAAGAAGGCAACACTTAGGAAAGATGTTCCTCTGGGTACAATAACTGTGAGAGAGAAAAGGAACAGAGGAGGAATTTAAAAAATGAGTCAGAGACCGAACAGGGGCCATGGAGGACAGACACCTTTAGGAGCGGCTTGTCAAAACAACGTAATGATCGCTGCTTTGAGTTGAGTCCAAGATAAACAGAAGTCCGCGGCAGCGCAGAGACCATCCCCATACGCCCTTTATACCGCCATCATGTAGTCCTTTCTAAAAAGGACACGGTTGCGCCACATTACCGCCACGGTCTGACCACTTATAAACAACCTAAGGCTCGATGATGGCAGCTCCACGCTGCAGCTTGTCGATTGATTTTCTGTCAGTGTTTGGTTATAATAAGTATGTACTTAAAACAAACTGTTTCAAAAAGTGCCCATTTGTGACATCACAACTGGAGAAATTAGAAGACCCCCCCCCCCCCCCCCCCCACACACACACACACACACACACACACACACAATGTTGGATGATCAGCAGCTCTACTTAGAGCCCCTCCCCAATATCCAAGCTCCTCACCTCCTGGCAGCCAATCAGGGAGTGGTTGGGTGTGACCAGCAACAGCTTGTTTTTTTTAAAGTGACAGAACCCCAAAATGGCTCATTCTGGAAGGTACTGAAAACGTCTATTGTAAAACTACTAAAATCGCTTTATATTTATGGATTTTATACGCAGGACTTGATAAATATGTTTTATATAGATCATAGAACTACTATATCCCTTTAAAGTCATGGTAGGTTTCCATTAAAACTCATTTAACCCTTTGATGCATGAATTATGAAATCTTCAACCATGATTTTTGTAACATTTTTTTTCATTCATCTTTAGGTGTGAATGAAACAAATTTCATCAAATATTTTAGTAAATTTTTATAATTTACAAATAATTTATTACATGTCCACCTCAGTGGGCAGTGTGCAATCTGAACATGAAATATGTTGGCTTGACTTACTGAAGTCCAAATGGAGGAGCTCAAATGCAATAAAGTCTTCAACAGCTGTGCTTAGCAGCAAAAATAAATAAATACTAATTTTGAATACCTGTCCACTGTAGTGACCATTATGTATCAAAGGGTTAAAATGCATCAGATTCAAATCGAGCATATATTTCTTTTCAAAATGTCTAATATAACATTTTGATGTACTTTAATTGACTAAAAATGATTTTCAGAAGCTTTTCTGCAACATTTTAAACAACATTTAGAAGCAGGTGTTGACTAAAACAAAACGTTTTAACAATTCTGTGTGGGTCCAGGTCTTTGAAACTGTACTGTCTCATTCCTTTGTTCAGATTCACATGAAGACCATGCCGGCGGCCATGTTCAGACTCCTCACGGGACAGGAGACGCCCTTGTACATATGAGACAACGGAGAGGAGCCTCTCCACAGAACAAACAGATGTTACAGAGCAAACTGCTCTCAGATCAGCCACTGGGAGGAGGACCACTCCTGTCTTCTTTTGCTCTTTTCAGCTGAAGACTTCTATCACTCCCTTGTCTGTGTTAACATGCAGCAGCTATTTAATGACAGGAGATGTTTAATCCATCTGACACAGACCAGGCAGCACACGTGTGTGAAAATTGTTTATTTATTTGTCCTGTTCGTTATTTTTTTGTCACATCAGTGAAACTGTGGATGGGCTGAAGTGAGCGAATGTGTCAGTTTATTTTTTTAAATTCATGCAATGCAATATGGCCCTTCTGCTATCTCCCACGTAAACTCATCCTCAGTGACTGAAGGTGTTTGCTGCAGAGGGGGCGGAGCTGCTTTGTAAATATTTCCTGAGTCTCTCGGTCGAGTTGGATCAAAATGACGGCGAAGGCACAATTACAAGCCAGTAGGAGTTGTCGGCGTTGAGAGTGATTTATGCGTTTGCCGGTCTGGAATATTAAACACATGGACGCCCACAGCCGGGGGTCATGGGAGAAATGCCACATTCACTTTAATCGACATCATTTTCAAGACAATATACAAATTTAGCCTCTAGCAGCGAGTCTTTTTTTAATCTCATGTACAAAATCGCACATTTAAATAACAGTAAGCATACATTAATCCTGCTTTTGGTACCAGGAGTAGGGAGGAGGCCATTTCTTTCGTCTTTACCCTTCTGACTGGAGCTCATGCATACTAATGAGTGGACTGTGAATGTAACCGTGTTGTGTGAGTCGTCTCATTGCTATAAGCAGTATTAGAATGTCTGTACATAAACAGAAACGTGTCCAGTATTGTGCTCATGTTAGGAAACTAAACCCACTCCAAACATCCGCCCGGCTCTACGTCGCCCTTCACACCTTGTGATTGGGGCAAGGGCCTCGCCTCGAGGTGATGGCTTCAGTAGTAAACTCGAACTGTGTGAACTTATCTGTGTGCATGCCTCGTAAAGTAGTATCATGTCATTGTGGCAAGATAATAAACCTGAGCTGAACCTGGCTTTAATTATTTCTGTTCTTTGGAGCGTTATTGCACCATGACTGTCCCTTTTTGGGCCCATCTTCTGACCTCCAGCAGGAGAACGCACCAGGTCACAAAGCAAACGTCGTCTCAAACCGGTTTCTTGAACATGACGATGAGTTTACTTGTCTCCAGTCACCAAAACTCCAGAATCCAGAGCCTTTGGGGCATGATGGAACAGGAAATTATGGAAATATGGAGAAAATCTGTTACCATTTGACCCTCATTGCATGCATCAAAACATTTTCAAGGCTGCAGATATTGCAGCGTTGAAAAGCTGCATGTGTAAAGGCTTTGTTGTGTGTTTGAGAGTTAAAACGTCATCACCGCTCTTATGTCATTTCCTGCAGCTAAACTGATTTACTGCAGACCAACACATCCATTAACAAAGGAAACCTCCTGGTACAATTGCCAGCCAACAATTAAAATGCGATGCTGTTGCCCCCTACAGTCCACATAAGGTATTGCATGTTGTGCAACATTGTTTCAAGATTACCAAACATTTTTCATGCAAAAGTTTTAATATTATTTTATTCTACTTTGTTTTCATTTTTATACAGTCAGTAAAAGAAATTATGAAAATTACCAACATAACCAGCTACGTGTGAAAATAAACAGGAGGTCTCCCACAGCCTGTTCCTTTGAACTTGTTCTGTTATCTTTCTGAGATCAGAGTCCAGTTCGTGTCGGTCGTCATGCTGTCGATCTCTGCTGCGACAGTGGGGGGTCGGTTCAAGGGTTCTGGTCATTTTTGTCACACTTTAACATGACTTTTATCCCAAGGCCTTGACGCGTCGTCTCAAAGGCCTGGACAGCCTGTTCCAGGGGAAAGCGATGGGTCACAAGAGGCTTCACGTTCACTTTACCTGACGCCAACATGGAGATCGCCATTGGCCAGCTGCAACAAAACCAGTTTTTTTTTTTTATCTTTTTTTAGACTACATCACTACTTTGAAATGCGAGCTTAAATGATGTTTCCTCACGTGTTGCAGTAGCGGAAGACCCCTCTGATGTCCACCTCTCTTACAGCAGCGTTGATGAGAGGAACAGTGCACATAACGGCACCGAGACCCACCAGCACCACCACACCTCCAGACTGGGTTGCCTGTTAGGAAAAGTCACTATTTTTTTTTATGCACGTTGATCTTTAAAACTTACCCCGCAGCAATGAGGAGGCTATCACAGCCTACCACTCATCACCCAGAGATAAGATTATTTGTGTGGTCTTTTTCTTTCCTCCCTGCAGGGTCACATACATAGATGGCTGTTTGGACGCAGCTCTCGACACCGGTGCATTCAATAGTGATTTGAGGCCGAGCTCCCAACGTGTCCTCGACTTTTTGAGCCAGCTGAAGGGCTCCATCTTCTCTCTTCACTGTCAGCTGGAAGTCTGCTCCCAGTTCTTTGGCCATCATCAGACGCTCTGCAGACAAATCTGAACACAGAAGATTGCACGTTCTGATGTCTTGAACAGAATGTTCTGTATAACGTGCAGTTTCAGGGCGGTTGTTACCAGTGATGATGACCTGCGAGGCTCCCATCGCCTTGGCAGCCAGCAAGCTGACCAATCCAATAGGTCCTGGAGAAAAGGAGGAAATCATTAATGATGCTGAATTATGGCTCCCTGTCGACCTTTTCATTAGCTCTCGCTTATTTACAACATTACTTGACGTGTTACACATTAACATCGTTGTGAAACAAGTCATGGTTCTGTTTGTTTCCACCTTTTAGGTTTTGTGGAGTCTGTGTGATCGCACCTGAGATGAAGTCATCACATTTCTCTCTTGCAGAAACATGATACAACAGTCAGTTTGCAGCACGGTTTGAAGTTTTCACTGTGCCACGTTGTTTCAAAACAAAACAAAAAATGATTTTAATAGGTTTACGTTTTATTTACCTGCACCACAGATGAGCACAGTGCTGCCAAGAGTGACACCGGCCCGGCGACATGCATGGATCCCCACGGAGAGAGGTTCGATGAGAGCCCCCTCCTCAAATGTGACGTTATCCGGTAACCTGGACACAGAAAGGCAGTTTAACCAATCAGCTGTGAGGTCATCTGTGATGCAAAGCTCTGCAATCCATGAAGAAAAACAGTTACTTGTAACAGAAGTTGGCATTGTGTGTGTAATATCGGCACAAGTTTCCATCGTCAGGAGGCGTGGCGCAGAAGAAGATGGTAGGAGACAAGTTATAGCGTCCGTTTTTGAAGAACTCGTCCATCTCACGGGGGACACCAGGCTCAATAGCCACTCTGTCACCTGGGATATATGCAGAAGTATGACCCTTTGTTGATTATCTAGATTATTTCTAATGCCAATCATATCATTTTATCTCCATAAAAAGATAAGGCCTATGTCGTAAAAGCTGGGTGGAGTGTGTTTCCTTTAAAACAGAGCTCTGCAGAGCTGGAAGGCAATGGCTTTTGGTTCTTCCTAGATATAAGATCACCTGCTTTAAGGTGTGTGACCCCTGATCCGACCTTCAGCACACGTCCTGCAGCTTCGTGCCCCAGCACCATTGGGTTTTTGAGCACATAGTCTCCAATTCGCCCGTGCTGCCAGTAGTGTACATCTGAGCCACAGATTCCTACAGAGTGCATCTGGAGCAAAACATCTGGGAGAAGAAGAAAACATGGAAGACTGAAGGAAATATTAGATTTGGATCAACTTGAATCAAACTTTTGGACTAAATATGAAATCCAGTAACAAGAATTGCTGGATTCCGACACATGAGGTTTTTGATTTTGTTCCATTACACGAAAGTATCCTTTTTTAGTTGTCAAGAAACGTGATTGGTTTAGGGTAAAGGCCTGACTTTTGATGTAGCTGTTTTGGGTTTTGGTCTTATGTTTGTAAAAGAGGGGTTTGGAAATCTATAATCTTATACTAATGGTCAACTTAGTATGCATACACGTTTGTGATACTGAAAATATGCATTTTAATACAACACAAGCACATTCCAAGCTAAATGTCAGGATAGTTGATTTACCATTTGGTCCTGGCTCTGGAATTGGACGATTTTCCTGATGAGACACGTCAGGTTATTTAGCGCAACTTGCGCCTAAACCATTAGTTTGACGTTTGAATGTTAAGTTTCTTACCAGCCTGAGGTCTCCCTGAGCATGTAGCACCACGGACAGATTGTCCTGAGCCATGACAGAAGCAACACCAAACTGTGAACACAGAAAAACAGCCCAGAGTCCACAGAAGTGTACCACACCACCACCCCTAAGGTCACGTGCTATAGCAGCGGGATGGAGCCAAAACAAAGCCTGTGATTGGTCCTAAAAGGCGGAACGAACCATTTAACGGGGGTGGACGCTACTAAAGAAATGTAATACACAAACTAATGCTATTAATAATGTTAAGGCTGTTCGTTACTGTTGAACATTAATGAATGGCTAGATATAAAAAATTAAATATTTCTTGAATTTTCCAAGTTATGACTTAATAACACCTCCTTCTATTCTCACGGCAATGTTTGAGTCCAATACGACAGAGAAGACGTCACAATTACGTATAAATCTGCATTATTTTAAAATCTAGTTTACGCGATTAATAAAGGTTAACTCCATTATTTGATGCGTATTTTGACTTTGACTCGTCTGCGCCGCAACGTTGAGGGTTACTTGGAAACCGGGCGCGCAAAAATGACGAAGCAGGTCACGTTTTTTTTATTGAACAATAAAACTCAGTAAGCAAACAAAAAACTTTTATCAAATACAATTGAAAAAAGTCTAAGCAGCAGAAATAACCATATTTATAAATAATAAAGTATAAGGTCAAGTAAAGTAACAGACTTTAGTTCAAACGATAAAACTGACAAGTTTAACAGCCTGTATATTATTTACCTTTTTAAGGGATTTGCAAAAAGAATAAAATCATTTTTGAAAAAAGGCAGGCTTGGCTTCACTTTCATTAAACGGCATTTGGAATTTCCCAAAAATTATCAAATTGTTAACAACGAATTAAATCTGTTTTTTTTTCTCCTATACAACCAAACTGAATAATATTATATGTGAATAAGGGGATATTAACTCTTTTTGGATAATAGCCAATTATATAAATCTGACGAAAGGATATTTACCGAGGTGCAATTAAAGGTGTTTCTGAGTTTCAATATCACTATTACATAAGACACATAAACTATCTTGTATATTAAATCCAATATTTGATAATCCTTTACATGGATATATATTATTAATCGTTTTAAGGTGGACTTCCTTCATTTTGGGGAGAGGATAAGAGAGAAAATCTGTTCTTATGAATCTGGTAACTTTATTTGAGAATCGGAGAAAGAATTTTCCTTCTGACAGGAATAGGGAAAAACTTGTTTGACAAGGCTGCTCTTAGGTAAGAGTTATTACATTTAAGGTATGTAAAACACAAATCAACTATAAATAATTTAGGAAGCTTAGGTGTACTTGCTCCATGTTGAATACTTTCACTGATCATCTGACCAGACACTGGAGGAATAGCCTTTATAACTAGAGTATTCTGTTACCAAACAGTGTAGATTATACTTCATTTTGAACTCATTATGCTCCAGAAACTTGCCATCACTGTCCAAAGGTGTATTCAAGAATGGAGCTCCGGGTGTCACGTGATCAGGTTTGTTTACGACGCCATGTTGGCAGGAACGCGAACGGAAAAATAGATGAACGACGGCGACAATGGATGGTTGCAGGCAACTTTTGGAAAGTTATGAAGAGCGATACACCACTAAACTTCAGAGACTACAGATTAGTGATCCCTATTTAGCTCAAAAATCAAAAGGTTACCTAAACCCTTTTATTATTATTATTACCCTTTAATTATTAAAACAGCAGGAAAAATCATTGGTGCCCAACTGCCCTCTGTCCAGGAACTGTACATCAGCAGGACCAGGAAAAAGGCAGTGAATATTGTCCAAGATGCCACACATCCTGCATCTACTCTCTTCCATCTGGCAGACGCTATAGATCGCTGTACACAAAAACTATACCAGACACAAGAACAGTTTCTTTCCTTCAGCCATTTCTCTCCTGAATCTGTAGATTCTTTTACCATCCTTTTATTATAGTTTTTAATACTTATTCAGTATGCTTATGGATATGTGTGTGTGCGTGTGTGTGTATAAATGTTCTTATGTGTTTTTAGGTATTTTTATTCTCATTTATTGTGGTTGTTGTATGTTTTAGAGAGCGAACATCTACCGAAGACAAATTCCTTGTAAATGTAATTTTACTTGGCCAATAAATCTGAAACAGTGGATTTGTCCCACCTGTAGAAAAATCAAATCACAAAAGAACAGCTAGTCCAACAGTGTTTATTTGATGGACAACTTCAATGTTCCTGAAGCTGTACAAATATCACATTTCTTTAACAGTTTATTTTTTAGTCTTCTGTATTGAAAAATTAATGTAGTGTTTACACTGATTTTAAATGCAAATCAAATTGTATTCACACTACTTGTAGTCTACTGGGTGGGTACAACTGATTCACATACATTCCTGCCAAAATGGAGCACCGTGGTGCATGATGGGATCGTGTGACGTCACCTCCCGGAGCTCTAAAACAGTTCCTGCACTCCTGCAGCCTGCAACAAAGGACCAACTAACTCATTTCCAGTGACAATGTTGTGTATTTTTCTTTTCTTTTTTCACTGTTTCTCAATTAAACCAAAATTTCAAGAGTACGTACAATCGTACTAATTTGTTAAAAAGAAAACTGCTACATACCGCTAAATACAGTCAGTAAATAAAAGCTGCTAATTACATCACAGCATGTTGGTTTAATATTTTTTGGGTAACAGCAAAAACAGAAAAGGCTAAATCCATATCAGATTGTTTACTTTTCAGGAAATGTTCATTTAAATAAGGTAAAACCAAAAGGACAATCCAAGATCTAAGCATATGCTTCCTACCACAAAACTCCCCCAAAATATTTTTATGCAATTTTGATTTCAAACATTTGAAGAAAAAAGAAAACAGATTTCCTAATCAAAAACTTTTATAATGAAAAATGAAACAGGTTGACATCAACAACAAAAACTACAGCATGAAATTACATTCCTTTTTCTGTGAACGTATTTTCCTCTTGATGTTTGTTTACACAAGTGTGTGAGGAAATTGCTGCATTTTAAGAATCTGAAAGATGTTCTTCACACAGATCACCAGGATATTTCTGCATGCTGACACTCCCTGTCAGGACAAGGCAGACATAAATGTTAAAGAGTTATGCAAATAAAAACACATTTCACTAAACAGGAAATTTTATGCAAACAATTTTTTGTATTTTTGTTTCTTTTTTGAGTAAAATTATGCTTTAAAAAACAATTCGATGCAAGCCTTCATTTAAAATGAAACAATCTTACCCATGTGCTCAGTAGATTTCTCATAAAATCACACAGGGCAGCTTCCCTTTCTGATTTACGACAGGTGGTTCAGGGCTGTAAGTAAAACAATCAGGACTTCATCAGTTTACCGCACGGGTTAAAAATGTCTAAATATTCACATTTGAAGGTCAGCCCACCTGTTGCTGTCCACTTCATCCTCTCTGAGGTCATCTTCTGACAGGCTCATTAAACTCTCATCCTGTAACACAAAAAGCAGCACACATAAGATAATTAGATTCAATTACTTTGTTTACATTTTTTCAGTTTTTTTCACCTGTGCAGCTTCCTGTTCATCTTCATGCTCCCAAATAAACCGCCCAACTACCCTCCTCACCTCTTAAACGGCAAAACAAACAAATGATCACTTAAACAGGTTTAAGCTCAATAGTAATTTATTGTTTTTTTTATAAAGAAAAACACAACTATATGGGTTATAGGACGTTAGTGCTTCTCACCATCCTGCACTGAGGCTGGAGGCAACACGTAATGACCAATGCTGACTGATTTCACACTCTGACGCTTCTCACAGGCTGACAGAAACAAGCAGTGGAAAACTGTCACCTTGTTCAGGATGTAATCTCTGCTGTCAAATACCCTTGAGAAAAAAGAAAGCATTTAACTTTAACTGGACTGAAAAGGAAGTCTCAAAATTGTCCTCGTGATAAAAATGTTTAGCTTTGCTCACTTTAGTGTATCAGGACTTGTTGCCTCTGCACTGAACAGGTAATCTGCTGACCTCCAGCCTGTTATGGCTCCACCCTCCAGGACTTCAGGGTAAAACAAGTTAAAATATATATTAATACATATTTGTTTACCAGATGTTAGTGGTGCATACTTTTAGGATCCATGTTTATTAATACTTCAACAATATTTAGTGGCCTACTTTCTGCAAAAACAATTTATCCAAATTGTTTTGTTTATTTGTGTATTTCTTTTTCTGCACTTTAAAAATAATAAAATAAACACTTTAGCATTTAATTAATCATGAACCATTTAACTAGTTTGTTCCAACCCGGATCTAGAACAAACCTTGACCTGATTAGCTTACTCCAAAAGTGGCGGTGGTCTTGTGGCACACTACTCGAAAACCAGGCAGTCTTACACCGAAACATCACTCTTCTTCTTTAAGATATAAATTATAAAAAGCTTTAACATATATCTGGTTAGTAAACTGTGGCTAATTTCACGTTGCGAGTTAGCTTTTGTGCATTAGCATTAGCCTCTGTGGAAACTGCTTTTCGAGCGACAAAATGTTGCCTTCAAAGATTCATGAAAACGGTCGGGAAAAACAAACGTATCTATGTTTAGGGAAATTCCCAGTTTACGCTCGCTGACAAGTCCTTTTTAACGGTGCTGTTTTTTCTAAATAACAGTTCTTAAAACTTAAGAGTTTGCAATTTAAAATAAAAGTCAGACCGTGACAGACACATAAGGCTTTATTGGCTTAAATATTTCCTGAACAGGCGTGAAATAGTTTTAAAGCGAGTCTATTAACACGCCTGCCTTTCTCATGGAAGAAATTAGATATTTTTTTCAAAATATAATTTAAACACCCAAAGCATCACGCAATAGTTAAATGATAAAAATCTATTTTGTGTCCACCATTGCTTTCACTGCGTTTGATGTAATCAAACAGTTGTTTAATTTTAATTGTCATCGTTCTCAGTTCACTAATATCAGATTTTTTTTCCAGAAGGATTACCTCAGATATTTACTGAAACACAGTAAAACTCCACTTTTTAATGGCTATCTTGTCTTTAGATTACCTGTAGAAATTGTTGCACCACTTTCTTTCACCACAAGATGGCAGTGTTTATACCATGAGTCAGAGCTAACAATTATCCCTGAGATTATTTTATTTATTTATTTATTTATTTATTTATTTACTTATTTATTTATACCATTTCAGTGTGACTAAAGAGTTTAACTCTGTTCTTTTACTGATCAAGATTATTATAAATATTTTTGTTTTTGACTTTTTATGTCACATTGTTAATATGACAGACAGGTTGCGTTTTAAGCCATATGTTTCAATTTTACACAGGTTTGTTGTTGTAAAGCAGCTCAAATTCATATTGGCACACATAAACAACATCCATACACTAAAGGAAAGGTGCTGTCTGAAAAACTGTGGATTGCTGTATTCTCTAATGTTTTATGTGCTGCTATTGGTTTTCTGGGGTTTTTCACACTGCTCACTGACTGGCTGAGATGGTTCAAAGCTGTGATAACTCTGTTACCATGACAACGGTTAAGACACACCCAGTTTCTCATACCTAACCATCTCCTGGAAGCACAGAGTCTTCCCAGAACAAAGAGGCACTGATCTGTTCTGAGCAGAACAGGAGGCAGATTAGATGACTATTTCACAAAGATGTTTTTTCTTATCACATTGTAGATTTTATTGTATTTTGGAGTCATTTATTTGAGAAATATCACCGAAAACACTTGAATGCATCATCTCTCTGGACATACACCTTTAAAATATCTATTTTTAGTTCAAAAGTATTCAATGAACACAAATGATTTAAACATTCTAATTATCTAGTATAATTTAGATTTTATGTTTGATTAGATCTATGTTTTATTTAAAGAGCAAATCACCCCCAAATCACATTTTTTTGCTGATAAACTATATAAAAGTGTCTAATTGTGCTGCAGACACATGTAGTCAATAATTTGGCAGTTCCGTGCATCTTTGTTAAAATTCAAATATTCTACCTAAAACTGTCAGTGTTGCGCCGTCGTCAGGGAAAAATTCTGCACTGTATTTGAATTTAAATCTGCCACCGCTATTGGCTAAGAGGTATGCTATGATGTCATCTGGTATATTATGATGTCATAATGCCATTGTGAGCCTGTGTGTGTGTATTTGTTAGCGGCTCCGCCCTCTCGGTCTGCCAAGCAACAGCATTTGTTGCATTTTTCAAACATGAAGTGGGAGTGAAGTTAGTTTCTTGTAGGGGGTGACTTGCTCTTTAACATTTAGTTACAAGAGGGCTGACTAAATTGATTGCAGACTGGCAATGTTTTCTCTGAAGTTCTTGGATTCAATTCAAGATATTTGGCTTTAAAATTGTGGATTGAATCAGGAACAGAAACTACCTGATATTCTCTACACTTCACAATTTAAACATACTTGCATGAGTGTTATTTTCTTTAGCCACAGCTCTAATAACACCTTTGTGTTTGCACAGTTTTTTTTCATCACAGTTTCTTATTGTAACCCAGATTTTAAACACCTAATTCCTTTTGGCTCTACTTGTTTTGGTCTTGTTTGATGTCCAGAATGTCCCAGTTCTATAAAAATGACAGGGCCTGACCTCTTTTTCTCCTCTGCTCCCTGCAGTGCTGACTTTGTCCTCTCAGCGTTGCTCCTGCTGGACACAGAAAATGCCCCGTGGAGACAAACCTGACGACCACCAGCTCATCCATCTCTACTCTGCCGTGCGTGGTGTTGTTTCACGTTGTGGAAACTTTTATTACTCTCAGATATTACATCATGCAGACTTGCCTGGTGAAGTAATCATTTTGGGGATCTGGTTTGTCAGTAATATTCTGAGAATGCACGTTTTGTCTAGAGAAGCAAATGATACTGTTTTCCTACAGATATTTAAATGTCAAAACATTTTTATTATCACACAACAAAAACACGGCTAAAAACTCTAATTAGAGGCGTTTTGGGGGAATTTTTACTAGTTATCCTTTTAAGGAAATGATGTTCAAATAGTTTAGGTTAAAGTGACAGTGTGCATTTTTCCTGTCGGTAGGGGGCAGTAGATACCTAAATGGTTGCAAGCAAGTTGTATTTTTGTATTGGAGTAAGACCTTACCAAGGGATGCCCGTTAGGGTCAAAAAGCCCTGAGGAGTGCAAAATTTAGCAGAATAACAAGCACATCAGACTCCTTTTCATCACTGACAACAAGTGAAGAGGTAAATGTGTAAAAGAACAACATTTAACAATGACGAAAGTTTTTTAACTGTTTGTTACAAATGAGTAATTGCATTTGGTCCTCATGGGCTCCAGTAGAAGGAAACATGGCGTCTAATTTGGCGTCGCCCAGAGACTTAGACCCGCTCCCGTGTATTTTAGACCTAATTTTTATGGTTATATGTTATGAAGCCGCCAATATTTTTCAACAACTGGGCATCATTTAATTCATTTCCAACAACATTTTGATGGACACTTCCAGATATTAATGGTAAAAACTACGCATTGTCCCTTTAAGTCAAAAGCTTCAAGACTTCATTCGCTCCAGGTAAAGTTCAGAGTTTTAAAAATCTCCTTCTAGCTTAGTAGGGTGATGGTGGCAGAGTTGTCCTCCTTGTAATCAGAAGGTTGCAGGTTAGAGTCCCGCTCAGTCGGCTGCTGTCACATCCTTGGGCAAGACACTTAACCCACATTGACTGCCATTGAATGGCACCAGTGAGTGTGCCCCAGGGCAGCTGTGGCTACTTAGCTCATCACCTCCAGGGCGAATGACTGATTGCGTTGCAATGTGCCTTGGGGGGCTCTAGGACTCTAGAAGTCACTATGTCGAATGCAGGCCATTTACCATTAGGGGTGTGTGCATTAGCAAGATTCTAGTGATACCATAAATGTCACAATAAAGGGGAGGCTGTGCGACATATCACCAAACTAAAATATGACATTTGCCAGACGCTTCCAAGACACATCCAGTGTTGTCACGAGATCTTGTTGTTCCGTGAGTTTGAAGGCGGTAAAAACCGCTGCCACCTAGCAGTCGGAGTTTGAATTGCACCAAACAAAAGGAATCCAGTAAAAGGTTTTATACGTAAATTCTCAATAAAAATAAAATGGATGCACTGCTTTTAAGTATTTATTCAATATCATAACACAAAATATCACAATGTTTCAACATTTTATACATCACCTTAGCTCATAAAGCCTTCAAAGATCAAATCCACTTTATTGTTTTAAATGTTTCTAACAGAGCAAATAACTCCAATAACCGTTTCTGGATCTGTTGGAGGTTCCTTCCTGCTAAAAGCTTTTCCTTCCCACCGTCACCACGTGTTTGCTCTAGATAAGGGATTGTGTTAGAGAGGATTCAACGCATTCTGCTGCCTTTCTTTATATGAGGTAACATTTTACTAAATGTTAAATGGCCTGTGTTTGTATAGCACCTTCTTAGGGTTCTACAACCCCCCAAGGCGCTTCACAATACCATCAGTCATCCACCTATTCACACACTGGTAGGGATGAGCTACGATATAGCCACCGCTGCTTTGGAGAGCATTGACAGGGCGAGGCCTGCCAAACACTGGCGCCACAAGTTCCTCTGACCACCACCAACAGGCGAGGCGGGTTAAGTGTCTTGCCCAAGGACACAACAGCAGCATTTTCTGGTGGGAGTCGGGATCAAACCAACAACTTTCTGAATTCTGGACAACCCGCAGGTCGCACATGGGCCGTCAGCCTTGTTGTCGCAGACGGTGATGCTGCGAAACGTAAAACTCCGGTTATTTCTGTCCACACAAAATGGAGAAAACGTAAATCTTCACTTTGGCCTGAGTTTTTCAAAAGATTAATTTTCGTTGCATAAATCTAGGTTTCTTTGTGGATGACCGGCCGAATCGTGGAAGAATATCTTCATTTTGGGAGAGATACCCGTCTACGTGTGGACAGGGCCTTGAACTGGCAGATTTTTGTATTCCTTTTAAAGCGGATTATTATTACCATACCATACCATACCATACCATACCACCTTTATTTATATAGCACTTTAAAAACACAACCATACGGCTGACCAAAGTGCTGAACAGTCGCACAATAATAGATAAAAACATAAAACAGTACTGTAAAATACAGCCAACAATAAAAAAAAAAGGACAAGCCGATAAAAAAGTACCAATAAATTCTTACAATGGATGATAAAATAAGAGTAGTAAAAGCCAAACTAACAGCTAACTGTTAGAAGCAAGGGTAAAATAGTGTGTCTTTAGTCTAGACTTAAAATCTGCCAAGGTGCATGCCAGTCGAACTGTGACTGGAAGTTCGTTGCACAGTTTAGGACCCGCAACAGAGAAAGCTCTTTGTCCACATGATTTGTAACACGCTTTCGGGACCTCGAGGAGCAACAGGCTGGAGGACCTGAGTGTGCGACCGGGAGTATAAATTGAAAGAAGGTCAGATAAATACACGGGGCCAAGACCATGGAGGGATTTGAAAACAAAAAGTAGCATTTTATATTCGACCCTGAAAGTGATGGGCAGCCAATGAAGGGATTTGAGAACTGGTGTTATATGCTGGCGCCATAACACCATTCCTGCATCACCTTTTGCATCAGCCGTCTTTACGGAGATCCTTTTGCATGAATAGCAAGACAGACGTTCCTGA